GAAGAGAGAATGTTAAGGTCTTCTCAGCACTGTCATCTTTGAAAGTCCAGCCAAGTAGATGTCATTATTCTGTGCCAGCTCGACTCCAGAGGCGCGAGTACCAGCCACTCTTTGCCCTTGGCTTTCAACAGGGTTGACTAACAGTGCCGTTAACAGGCTAAAATGACAACTACAGTCCTTTTGCAGGTGTCCTCATCATGCTTTTAGATACACTCAAAAGAGAAAATCCTTTTCCCCCTAGACTGGGAAATATATTGCTCCCTTTCAAAGTGAATCATCCCAGTGTGACCCTTCCTCTCATACACTTAAATGTGACTTGTTTTACAAATCACATATGGGAAGGAAGGTGCACCTCTAATAAACAATCCAAGCCAGCAAGTCCAGGGTTTTGTGGGGTTTTAAGTTGCTTTTAGATACACTCAAAAGAGAAAATCCTTTTCCCCCTAGACTGGGAAATATATTGCTCCCTTTCAAAGTGAATCATCCCAGTGTGACCCTTCCTCTCATACACTTAAATGTGACTTGTTTTACAAATCACATATGGGAAGGAAGGTGCACCTCTAATAAACAATCCAAGCCAGCAAGTCCAGGGTTTTGTGGGGTTTTAAGTTCTTAGGACTGACATATTTGGAAGATCAGCATGTTACTGTGTTAGCTTTGGAACAAGCCGGTCACCTCTCTGCCGAGGACAAGAACAATTGATTCCATGTTAATAGAATAAAGTAGAAGAGTTTGGCTCAACAAATGCACACTAGGGTATATGGGAGTGTACATGCAAATGTACAGATATGCCTGTGAACCTATATGCATTTCGTATATTTCTAAGCTTTCAATGTAGGAGTTTCACACAACATGTTTTCCTTTGTTTCATTGAGTCAATGTGAGTGTAAAAATAGTATGAGTGATGCTGTCCAGGAAATGTTTGAGAAATTTCTGGGCATTTTGAATCTGTGGTTAAGCATTGTGATTTATAACATTATACTTCAATGTGGTAAATGTTATCATTCAAAGTAGCACTAAGGGCTTACAGTTCTTTTATTATAACTCTCTGAAGTTGAGAATAATCACCTTTAATAAAACAACTCCCAAGCAGATATGTAATGAAGGAGCATTATCTATTGCCTAAACGTTAACAGAGCCCAAAATCCCAGAGATAGATTTAAGTACATGTGTTTAAAATAAAAATCACAACATCAGACAAATAAGACCCAAAAAGCAAGAGGTGATGAAAGAGTTCTAAAAGGAATTAATCCGGAGCTGTCTTCTGAGAGCTGCCCAAAGGACTCATAACAGGGTTGGTATTAGGGCTGACAGAGTTGTGAGCGATGTAATTACCTATTATCACCTATCTACCCTTTACCAACTGTAACATCTCCTTCAAGCGCTAATTGGCTATTCTGCACAGCATTCTGGGAAGTTTCAGTTTATGAAGCATCTTCACCAAGAAGTAAAAGAAATGGGTTGGATCGAAGGCTCCTTCATCTTCCCCCTGCTTTCCTGCTTTGGCGTCTGTGAGTGTCCACGTTTACACTGCAGGTTCTCCTGATAGATGACCTTTGATGTCAGTCAGTTTAATAACTACGAGCCAGTACGGGTAGAAAGAAGGCTGCTGTGACACCTCAGGCAACTTGGAGCTGCAGACTCCTGCCGGCCCTGGCGCCACCTGCCTGAAGCTCTCCCTGCAGCCTTGGGTGAAACACTCAAGGCACCAAGTGCCTAGCGCATCTCTATAAAAATATCATGCATGTGGAGGCGAGGGGTATGTGGGACCCCACGGTGCTTTCCCTGCAGTTTTGCAGTCAACCTGAAACTGCACTGAAACATTAAGTTTATTAATTTAAAAAAACGGAATACCAAACGGTATGATGATTCCTCAAAAATTTAAACACAGAACGACCATATGATCCAGCAGTTCCACTTCTGGGTATAAAAGAAGTGAAAGCAGGGTCTTGAGCAGGTGTTTGTACACTCATGTTCATACAGCATTAGTCACAATAGCCCAAAGGTGGAAGCAACTCAAGTTTCTATCAGCAGTGAATGAATAAAGAACATGTGGTATATACATACAATGGAATATTATTCAGTCTTAAAAATATGAAATTCTGACACATGCTCCAACATGGATGAAACATGGAGATACCAAGTGAAATAAGCCAGACACAAAATGACAAATATTATATGATCCCACTTATATGAGGTACCTAGACTAGTCAAAGTCATAGTCAGAAAGTATTTAGAAGGGTGGTTGCCAGGCGCTGGGAATAAAGGGGAAAGGGAAGTTAGTATTTAATGGGTACAGAGTTTCACTTTGGGAAGATGGAAAATTTCTGGAGATGGATGGTGGTGATGGTTACACAATAATGTGAATGTACTTAATGCAACTGACCTGTACTCTTAAAAATGATTTACGTGGTAAATGTTATATGTATTTTACCACACACACAAAACCCCCCCTGAATACCAGAGCTTACTTTCCTTCTAAGAATTCTGGGCAGAATATTAAGTAGTGCTTGACAGGGATGCTATAGTTTGGGAGGACAGAAGAAGCACAGATGGCTGTGTCCCTCACACCTCCATCAGCCCTGACACTACCCTGGCCCTCTTTGGGCAAATGTAAGGGACCTGCAGAATGTTAGAATGTTAGACTTAAGTCTTAGGAATAGGTTTCCTACCGGGACAAGGACATATTTGTCAGAAACCACTAGGGAAATTTGCCATCAATGACCACCATCTCTTTCAAAATGCCATTTACACACGCAGGAAAGCTGCTTCACTGTGATGGAGGGGACGTGTACCCCCCTGTGCTCCTGTCATGGGGCTGCTGCAGTTCATGTGAATTGTGTCCGTGTACTGCGCCCCGGGATGCGTGCCTAGTGGCGGCAGGTGACAGGTCTTAGCAGTGGAGGCGGATGTGGAAGCAGGAACCAGGGGATATAGACTTGCCACAGACTGAAGCCTAGTAGAAAATGGAAACTTGGAAAGAAAATTAGTAGCAAATAGTTCTCCTGCAACAGGGCTTCTAATTATAATGCCTGTTTGACATTCTCCCAATGAAGTACAGTTCATCCCCCATCACCAAATCTCTGTAATGTTGGGCATTATGGTACCCATAAATCACAAAACAATTGTATGAGTGACCTGCAGGCCTGTGAGAAACATGCAGGATTGAACCCACTAAGTCCATTTGGGTCCTATTGGGTGGGGGGGGGCGGGATTTTGCTTCTTATTCTAGGTTTCTAGAAAGCTGGCCTTGCAGATTCTGATCAGTGAATTCTCACGGGGCTAGTAGCCATGTTTCCCTCAGGTCTCCTTTACTTTACTACTTTACTATTCTACTTTACTCCTTTCAGGCCCTGCCCTTAGGTCTGACCAGGGATTGTAATTCCTGAAGAGCGGTGCATAAGGATCCATAGTTTCAAAGAGCTCAAAAACCTCTGTCCTAAATTATCCCACTTCCTCCTTAAGACATCAGAATCACTTAGATATGTGAACGTGCATGTGTGTGCATTATATACATATACATACATACATACTGTATACATATACGTACATACATACATGCGTATGTATGCGCTTGGCTCAAGGAAAAGGTATAACCAAAAAAGCAGCGAAATAAAGTCATCAAAGTTGAAGTACAATACATATAAATCAGTTGCTCATTCCCACCCCCGACTTCCCAGACCTGCTTAGAAATAAACTCTCCATGCTTTTCACTTAGGTGATGGACAACAGGGCGTAGCAGCAAAGGTTTTGCAGTCAGTTGCCATAGGGAGCTGCTAAAATATCAAAAAACTGGAATTAAAGGTTTTTATAGAAAAGAAAATCCAGGTGAGCAAGGTCTAACAGAGAGGAGAAGTAGGTGCTTATTCATCTTTGATATCACACGTAGCTACCGGCACCCTAAGCATGAGTTGAAACGACATGGATATAGACTCTCATCAAAACAAATTCGGCCCCAGGAGTTTGGAGACCATGATTTTTGGAGGGACACCCTGACACAGATTCCCCGCAACAGTCACCCAGAGGAAAAGACATGAGGTAGAGAAAACCAACAAAGACCGACCCTCGGGGGCTCTCCTGGTCAGCTCTCATGGCCCCAAGAATCAGATGTGCCTGGTTACAGGCACTGAATTCGTATTTAGCGATGGCTCAGCTACCTGGGACCCAAGTAACCAGAACCCTGAATTAACTAGCCTTCATACTTCCTACCCACCCCCTCCCATACCCCACCCTACCGCTCACATCCCACTTCCCTTTTTCAGTGATAAAGATTCAGAAAACAAGGTAGCTTTGGTTTAGTAAAGGTAGAGAATATACCCTGGAGGATATTTGTAGCTGGTGACACTGACCTGCTGAATCACTGAGAATGGTTAAATCCTTTATAATTAGGAAAAGAAACTGCTTTGGAAACGTTTTCAACAAAAAGCATTTTCTGTCTGTCAATTCACCAAAAAACTGAAACAAACCAAAAACTCATCTTGTCTTCAAATAGTCTAATCAACTGAGGTTTTATTGTCCCTATTTTTGTGTCTTAATAATAATCTAAAAATGTTGACTTAGAATAGAAAAATATAAAGTTCATTTTTATTCTTGAGAAACCGTGCAAGTTTTGGCTTTTACCACCTTTCCAGTGCCAGAGTTTAAATCTCAGATATTCTGTTTACATTTATTCTGTTTATTATGTTTGGAAGCGCTCTAAAAGTTGTGATGTTAACGATAAGATTGGTAATAAAATAATTTCATGAACATATATATTTAGTTCTTATTGTCATTGGGGAACCATTGGCATACTTTTGAAGCCATTCTGTTTTTTTTTTAAAGAATGTACGTGATTACTTATAACATATTGTTTCACAATTGTGTTCTGCTGAAGGCATCATCAAAATTAATTTTCATTCTCTGCATATACACTCATGGTACAGAGAGGGGTGATGTGACCAGCATAGTAATATACAGGTCCAAATTTCAAAAGGTATTATTCCCTGCAAATCTCCAAATAAACTCAGCCATGCATATGACAGAGCTGGTCACCAAGTGATGTCAGTTGTAGTACGAATAGTTTGTCACCTTATTCCAATTAATTTCCAATCTGTTGCTTTTTCGAAATTATTTGTGTGCTCTTTTTTGGATGTGCCTGTACTAAGGAAGTGACAACTCTCTCTCTGAGCCGTAATTTAACCCAAGGGATAGCTACCCTCTTCCAAGGACACCCCTGTTAAGCTGATCACTGTGAGGCCCCTGGCGGGTGAAGCTCTGGTACAGCTGGAGAGTGCCCAGACCATGGTCATGGTGAGGAAGAAAAGTATTTGCAAAGCTCTGTAGTGTAGCAGGATTCTTAAGCGTCCTTGTCATGTTTAACTAGAAGCTATAATCTATTGTTTCTAGCAGATTTTCCCTGTATTTCATGTCTGCTTTGTCACCAGCCCAGATTACTATACTAGATCCAATGTATTAAATGTCCTTAGTGACTAGAAAGATCAGAATCAGAGAATTGTTTCCTTTTATCAAAACAGAAGTAGATTTATTTTCCTGATTATAAAAGTAATACATGTTTATTGTACAAAATTTATAAAATAACAGAAGAGGATAAAGAAAATAAGTTACCTTTCATCCAGCTACCCAGATACAACCTACCTGTTAACTCCTACTTTTGTGTATTTTTCCAGACTTTTTTCATTTTGTCAACTAATTCCCAATTTACAAGCAGTACTCTGGCCTGCTGACATCCCACAAATTGCTGGAGTTCAGGAATGATGCCTTTGATATCATTTTCTAGGACAGTGATGGCCTAGTCGTTTGTTTTTCTCCCTTCAAATTACAGTCATCAACTCTTGCATGGACAGATACCTCTGTAGACTCACCAGTGTCTTTATGGAGTGAAAATCACTATTAACTGGGGTTTTTTTCATTTCTGTATTCTGTCAATAAAAATGATTTTTGAGTGGCCCTGCGAGATCCTAGTGGGCCTCTGGAATCATAAAAGAAAGATTTAATGAGGACCAAGATGGTTTTAGTGTTAGATCAACTGATTGTGCTCTAGGTATTTAAAAATTCACAGCTGATACACTCTAAGACAGTTTGGCAGAAGTGGGGAAAGGTTGATTACCCAAATTCTCCCCATCCCCCAACCATACTCCAAACAATGTGGACTCCAGTAAAATTCCAATTTTACGTTCAGATATAGCCCTTCCTGTGCTATGAACCAGAGAGTTTTCCTTCAACTCTTCATGCTTTATCCCCCTTCAAAGAAGCTTCCCTTCAGATTCGTCTGGTATGGTGTTCGGGCTATGGCGTGGGTTGTGCTGCATATCTCTGTGCTTCCCTTTGGAGAGAGCTCGACTTTGGATCGGGATGAATCCTGACTCTTAGCCAAAATTAGGAAGGGCTTTGAACACTGAAAGAAAACCCAGATTAAAATTAAGGGGATTGTTAAAGGAGTCATCTGAGAAAGGTTGAAGGAATGCCACCCACAAACCTCACGTCAGTAGAATAGAAAGTGTTTAGTAAACAGCTGCTAGAAGAGATTTTGTGTTTTAAGAATGATCCATATTAGGCATTGGGTGTGGCGAGGTCTTAGCATCCTCTGTACAAGACTTAGGTTCTTTAAAAGCAGGTCCTTCTAAGTTCTTCCCTCTGCATCCCTTCTCATCCTTTGTGTCCTTGTATATAATAGGGACACAGTGGTGTTACTGATTTGAATTAAAATTTCTGTAGCTCTTGAGTGACAGATGAACGAATGTGCTCAGTCCAGGTATATATCTTACCTTGTTCAGACAGTAATCGAAAGATGCTTTGGTAAATGCCCGCAATTGTATCGAATGCCCGGATTGGGTACTGGTGTGGGAAGTGGTCTGCAGTGCTTGGATCCTCCCTTGGAGACGGAGATGCTCATGTGGATAGTGAGAACTCGGTTCCTTGCCTTCAGTTTTGGTTTGACCTCCTTGCTTCCCTGAGTCACGGCGTTCACTCGTCGCGACGGGCCTGTCACAGAAACCTAAGACTGTCCCTTGGACTGTTTGTGACACTGACTCTGAATTTCCCGTGACACGAACAGCCAGCATTTGTTGTAAAACTTCAAAAACTCACTAAGAAGTTTAGTTGGTTTGCAGTTGACATAGAGATTAACTTTCTCTAACCTAAACCAGTGAAAACTAAAACACTCCTCACCACATAAAAGTTTTGCTTTCGCTGTGTTCAGACCCCTCCCACCCTATCACAGCACAGTCATTTGGAGTCTAGCGTGGGGAGGTGTGGCTCTACCTCAGTCGTGGATGACCCACTTTTTCGTAACACTTAATTACCCGTGTTTTTACAACACTAGTCAGAGGTTCTGACGCTAGTGGACTCTGATCCATCTCATCAGCGCTACTCTTCAGAAGGAGGTGTGAGCTCTGCAGGGCGTGTAGCTACCGGGGATGACAGCATATCCTCTAGTTTCTGGATAATGAGCAAGCACACAGGTAAAGATGCCTTTCTCAGCGTTGACTCTTTTCGTGTCTTCATTATTTGGTGGAACTGACTTTTAAATATTAATCCTTACCTGCGTGTGTTTGCTGCTGTGCTTTGCAGAGGGCTCAGAGGAACATGCATTCGGATTGGTACCCAGGGACCTTAATGACTTAACTTTTCATGAAAAGTCTAAAGAGATGATAATAAAAAACAGACTCTCATCTCTATCCTGTCTATGCCCCCAGAAAACATCCTCTTCCTCAATTTTTTTTTTAATTTGCTCTCAAGGTGGGTGTTTCTCAACAGCAGCGGCTCCGCTTGGCAGGGAGAGCGTGTATGCGTTCGTGCTTGGTGAGCTGCGGGCTTGGGGAGTGACTGGATGGAACAGACAGAGATGAAAATGCAGAGAAGGGAAGGGAAGACAGCAAGGGGGTGTTGTGCCTTGGAGAGCGTTGGCCCCACGGCACCCTGAGAGCAGATTTAGGACAAGCGCTATTGCCCTAACTTTGGCAAAATCATTCTTGACAGCCTGCTCTGTTCTACAGATGTTGACGTTTCTGATGTCACTTTTGTTCATTAGAGGAACTTTTAAAACACCGAGCTTGTTGCAAAACGAAACGTTGTAGGTATCATCTGCCCGAATTTACAGAAATGTGTTTGGGGTGCGTTTCTTTGCTAGAAGCCGGTTGACAGGCGGCTCACAACAGGGCGGTGGCGGTGCCTGGTGGATCGCACATGCCACTGCGCTGCCTGCTCACCACGGTGGAGTCTTTGAAAATGCCCAGAGATAAGTCAACGTTGTTTTTTTTCCCTGAAAGTCCTGATACAGAAAAAGGATGAAAGTACAAACACTAACTGGAAAAAATGTCACACATTTTAGCTGCTTTGCATCCCTTGTTAGGACGAACCCTGGCTTGGGTTTTGTGTGTGTGTGTGTGTGTGTGTGTGTGTGTGTGTGTTTTTCACATTTGTGGACTTGTACAGTAGGTGGAGCAGCGTGGGTGGCCCAGAAAGAGTAGCGGTTAGAATAAGATTTTCCATTTATTGCCCTTTATGCATGGCTAAAAATAAGATTCATACAAATCAGAATGTGTAGTGCAAGCACAATCACTCTGTTAATTCTGATGACTGGTTTGCCCACATCTTTGCATCTGTCTGGTAAGTGGTGCATTGGGGAAATAAATGTGTCTCCGTTTCAGCAGCAGCAAGGCAGCCAGGTTTGGGCGCTGTGTGTCTACCTGCGATAGTTTATCAGCATTTTCCCCTTCTGAAGGAAGAAAGGCACAACTCATACATAAACAAGGTGTGTCGCAAGAAATAGTGATGGGATCCTTGAATCTTTTGTTGAAGAGTAATTGCCTTGTTTGAAATGCTGTCTTACAGCATCCATCTTCTTGGCTCATTGTTAGAAAGTTGTGTCTTGTCGACTCATAGAACAGCAAGGGAGGGATTTCTTAGCAGTGCTGCAGAGAGATGGGAACCCTTTTGTTCGCGTAGGGATGGGGTGGGGGGTGGACAGCGGCAGGGAAAGGCCTGCTGTGGACACAGACGTCGGAGGGGCAGTTAACCAAGTAAAAACTCCCTTCATCTGACGGCCGAGTCTCCTGCAACCACAGTAAGTGGTAACGTGTCGGTTTGTGGCTACAAGAAACACCAAAGAGAGGTGGTGTTGGTGTTCACAGGGAAATTTGCACCTCCGTGATCCCAGCGATGGTGCTGTCCCTGTTCTACTGGCTGAGTGGCTGTGACATTTCCAAAGAACGAGAATGTCTACAAGCGTGCTAAAACCTTGCAGTTTGATGTCATTTGGGAAATAAGATGAGTCAAGAGAGCAGTCATTCCAGAAGCTTCTGGAAACTGATGACTGCAGATCACATTCCCCACTGGTGTCTCCAACCTCAGCAGATGGTGAGGCAGGGTAGTTAAAGTGAGACAAGAGCTTTGGGAGAAGGAGGACCCAGCCTCAAATCTTGGCTTAGCTACCTGTTGACCTTGATCTAGTTATGGAACCTCTCCTAGGCCTGGATGTCTTTCATTAAAAACTGCAGCAGGGGTAGTGCCTACCTCATAGGGTGCTGGTGGGGAGTCAGTAAGATCACGTACGTGAAGCACAAGGCGAGCCTTCAGTAAAAGGTTGATGGTGATGCTTGTTCGTGCTGTTGCATCATACAAATGTGGTGGAGAATTTCAGGGCATTTGTGGGGTTCCCCGCTCTGCTCGGAGTACAGATTTTGGAATTAAATGGACACGAGGTCAGCCTCTTGTTCATCGTTTCTCAACCAGAAGGCTACAGGTCATTTCGCAAGTAGTGTGGCTCTTCATCATCTGCTGATGCTCTCCAGGGGCTCAGTTTTTTATTTTGCCATTAAATTAGCACCATGGAAGCCTCTCTCTCCTCTGAAGGTGAGCGCTGTCTTGTGCATAATCAGTTATTTTTACCTTTCCACTGTTTTTTATTTAAACGTGGATATTTCAGTTCTGACATCTGTGCATGTTAATTGTAATACCTGCTGATGTACATCATGGAAGAGAGAGCGCTAATGTTATAATCAAGGAAGGTTTTAAATATTTCAGGTGGGAATGGGCAGAACTTGAGGAGCAATTAGCTTCCATGGTGGTCTAATTCCCTATAGACGATATCACATCTGTTATCACATCTGATCGATCCTATAGATAACCAGATGCTCACAAGAAGAAAACAATTACTGTTTCTTCTCCTTTTTATTCTTTTTTGCAAATTATTTTGTTTAATGTAATGTACACCTGCCCTTCTAGGAGTCTTTTTCTGCCCACCAAAGTTTTCCATTAAATAAATACATTGTATGTTCCATAATATGGTCATCATCGTAGGTATCACTTTTTTGGTTAACCTTTAGTATTAGATGCTCAGGAGGTCACATCAGACTCTTCAGCCTCCTCCGTGACCTTCCTGGGATGCAGTTTCTTCATTTATCAAATTAGTAAAGAAATTATGACTGTACCCTGACTTGGCCTCACTTGGGACCTGGCCAGAAGTGATCAATGAGACCAATAAGCTAAGGAATTAAAACATGGTGCAGGTATAAAGCAGTGATGGCTTGCTTTTATCAATGGATGTATTTTGCTAGTTTAAAATTTTTTCTCTCCAAATTTTACTTTTCATGGTCTGTCCTACCACCCCAATCACAGATACAATCTCTGAGTTGTAATGTGTATGTTAACATCATCGTTGGATTTTCTGGATCTTTCACGTTAAGACCCGTCAGTCTGGTGGGGTGCAGATATTCCTCAGGTTAACTACACCAGTAGAACCTTTCTTTCACTGGAATGGTACCCAGGTTCTTTCAGTGCATCCAGACAGTGCTGTTTTTTCCTTTTTTTTTTTCTTTTCCTGTTGAAAGAAGTGGAAGAATGCTTTTCAGGCAGAGCAAATCATTCTAGGTGACTAACAAGTTCCTAGCATTGCAGATACAGCCTTAGTCCCCTCCATGAACACACTTACTCCCTATTATCTTTGCCTGTCTTATTGCACTTTGCCACAGACTGAAGTTTCTGTAAAAATCATAGGCAAGGGCTTCCCTGGTGGCGCAGTGGTTGGGAGTCCGCCTGCCAGTGCGGGGAACGCGGGTTCGTGCCCCGGTCCAGGAGGATCCCACATGCCGCGGAGCGGCTGGGCCAGTGAGCTGTGGCCGCTGAGCCTGCGCGTCCGGAGCCTGTGCTCCGCAACGGGAGAGGCCGCAACAGTGAGAGAGGCCCGCGTACCGCAAAAAAAAAACATAGGCGAAAGAAGGTGATAAATTAGGCCCTGACTGTGATTTCCTACCACACCTTCCTAAGGAATGACACAGATTCTGAAATTCATCTCGTTGGTGTACCGCCTACTTCTTCCTGCATAACCGCCAGTTTTAACCTATCCTTCATGTGCAGTTTGAGGGTACTGGCCGGGCTGGGCTCATTATTCCTTTGGTTGAATGACGTAAAGCATTTGCAATGGAGATTTACTCTAATGATGTATTTTAAGTGCATGTCCTCATTGCCGGTTTAATGCATTCAGTCATGGAATGCTTTAGAGTTTATTGCTAATGGATGAATCCTCAGGAAAATTGGCATTTTCAATAAGATTGACATCTGGAGTGAGAAATAGATATCTAATGAGAGCATTTCAGCCGAGGTTTGTAATTAGGGCTGAATGGAGTAAATTTGTCTGCGCACACCCCAGAAGGGTACCGTGGAAGGTGGAATTACACACTCTGCTATGAATGAGGCGTGAAGGCCAATGGATGAGTGTCAGGCCACGACACTGTGCAGTATAAATGATACTGTCACCAAGTGCTGCACCAGGGTATCAAGGGAATTCCACTCGAGTAAATTACATTACTTAGACAGACCTGAAGGCATTGTGTCGGAATGAGAGGAGGGAAGAGAAGGCTGTCAGCGCCACGCGGAAGGTATTACATCACAGCTGGCTGCAGGGGTGGACATCACCTGTTTCCATTATACCTGGCGGTTTTATATTCTCCTTTGTTAATTCGTTTTCAGAGGTTACAAATGTGTACATGTGAAGGCACCTCGTGTCTCCTGGGGTATAGGTTTCAGTTGACCACAAGGGAATAAATATAAGGTGACTTGTATAAACTAACAGGTTAGTGCTGGATTCCCTTTCTTGTCATTTGTAGCTGGTGATACTAGATGTTCATTTCTAACCTAGCCCTTGTCTTATTTTCTTTTGGTGACAGTCCTACATACATTATGAGGAGGTAATCATCCTTCGCTCTGTGACATTGTTTCTTTTCCAACACCCTGCCTTCATAAGGACATTCGTTTCTCCCATCCTGTCCTAACATTTTTTGCCTCTCATCACCTTGCATCCCGAAGGGGCAACAAATTGACCGGCGCCTAACATTTCATTTCCTGAAAGAATTCCAAGTTAAGAACAGTTGATTCCTAGAGTGCCGTTTGTGGAGAAAAACTGTTTTTTCGCTTCTTCTATTTTCTTTTATCCCCCCAGCAGTGAAGTGAGGCCTCCTTTTGG